GAGTGAAAACATTTGCGATACCATAATGTCAGTGGAACGATTCTCGAGAAGAAACAAATTGGAGGAAAAAAAAATCCTTTCCAATTGTTCCCAACTGAAGAAAACCCATTGATGTTCTCTTTGAACCAGCAGGCACATTAACAGGCATGTGTAGGTATAGGAGGCCATCACTGGAAACCCAAGCTGGGTCAAAAACATGCAGTTCTTGACTCAACCCTATCACAGGAGCACCCATCGCCACAAAGGCTTGTAGCGGTTTAAAAGACAGTCCCCAATCCGCAAGGAAATATTAAGCTCTTATGTATTCAGGTGCTCAATGAATGAATGATCAGCCATCTGTTTCAGCGTTTCCTGGAAACTTATGAAAACATCTGCTCTATATTTCTGGATATGAACGGGGCTGACACCAAAGCAGAAAGTCAAGTTTTAATTGGAGAACACTCTTCAGTATTGGACCTTTTTATCTGTATGTATAAGAAGTGCAGTTTGGTTTGGTAATATTTTCTGTTAGTTACTGTGTCGTTCGGATGAGGCATTAAATCTCCCAGTCCTGGCCAACAGTTGGCAAAGAACTAATAAAAACTTGGTCTTGCACTTAATGGCTGTTTGTGGGACATTGCTGTTTGCAATGCAGTCACTACACTTTACAGTAAATCCCGTGAAGCACTTTGAGATATCCTCCTGATGTGAAAGGCACTGTGTCATAAGTAGGTATTATTTTTAATAGTAATGGATTAGGCGGTCTAACATAATATTGGCGCACACTCATCAGTCATAAATTGATTTATTTACATAAACTATTTAGTGATGCCACGTCCTCTTAACAGTCACGCCTGTTTATTGTTCCAGACTACTTAACCTCACACTGCCCTTTCCGAAGATGAATAGTAGAAGGTCCCGGTCATTGAATGCAGTGGGTGGTGCCCCTCAAGGGGAAGGATCTTCTGCACACAATGACTAAATATTTTTAAAATATATTTTGATGTTTTTACTGGATCATGCGGTTTACATATGTTTTTTTTCCCCACCTGAAGTGTTGTTGCTGAGAAATTAAGTTGTTTGAGCCGCTTGCTCTTTTAAGGGTTTCCGATTTCCTTTTCTAAAGGGGAACAATTCTAATTGTTAGTGATTTTTTTCCTCCCTGTTTGCTATTTTTAAAAAAAAGCACAACTTGAAGATGTGGTGGGAGAATGGTAGTGTGGGTGTTCTGCGAGATTCGAATCAGATTGGCCTTCCAAACCAATTTAGTGTTCTTCGTAAGCTTTTAAGTCCCTCGCCTCCCCTCCCCTCCTCTTTCCCATGGGTAAAAGACCTTAATAGCGTGTGGTATCTCCAACGCAGATCTTTTTTGCTGAATATTGCTTTTACAAGAAGCAAGAAAATTCAGGCAAAAACAATATTTGAAAGGCTGTTTTTTCGCACGTTGTAATCGGATCCCATAAGGTAAGGGTGAAACGTGGCCAAGTTTCTATTTAAGAGGTACTACACACATAGTGTACGCATAGCCTGAGGCTTGTTACATAGCCAGGCTGAGCCAGAGCGTATCCGTCACATTACATTAACAGGTTTCCAATTCTGGCATCGACAGGGTCGGTCGTGTCATGTCTGTATATTACATTTGGCCCACGACTGAAAGTAACCGAGAAAGTGAGGATCAAAACCCAGCAAGTGCAGTTGGTTCTGGCAACTTAACACTGCGCACTTGTAAACTGCAAGTTTAACATCGCAACTTCATCGCTGGATAAGGCGTACCTTAAACTAACAGAGTTTCAGTTTTGTTTCCCTCATTCCAAGGTATTACAGTGATTATTCTGATTTAAAACCACTCGCTTAAATGCTCTTTTTATTTTTTACATTGCTCACGAAGATTTGCACACATTCTTGAGCCGTGACACAGAACAGCTTACTTGCAGTACTTGCAGGTACATACTTGCAGAAACAGCCACAAAGGAGCTGACATAATTCAGTACATTTTGTAGAGATGTATGTGTGATTTTCTTTTGAAAGTTTCTATCAGTTGATCGTAATTGCATTTGATGTAGTACCTATCAGGTCAGGAGTACAGCTCAAAGCGCTTCACAAGATTTACAGTAAAGTCCAGTGAATGAATTTTGTGGTTGAACACGGCAGTCAGTTTGTGCACAGCAAAAAACAGCCACAAAGCGAGTGACCAATTTTCGTCAGGCCAGTGGGAGAAACTCCTTCCGCTTTTCAAATAGAGTCACAGGATCTTTAACAACCACCTGAACAAGCCTCAGTTTAACGTTTTGTCTGAAGGACGACAACTCAGTCAATGCGACACTCCCCCAGCACTGCATTTGAGTGTCAGTCTAGACTCGGTGAGTTCAGAGTTCTGACACTGAACTTGATCCCACAACCTTATGACTCAGAGATGCTATCAATTGAGTCAGAATGACGTCTATAGTGTAAACTGATGTAAATTCTGATCTTGCCTACTCACTCCAGCACAGTTCCCAGCATTTTTGAGTTGACCTTCTGAGTGTTTGGTCTCGATATCGGTCTCGACGACTTCATAATCCGATCCCTTACCCTCCCTCAGCCCTGAAATAAACACTTTCAATCTTGTGCATCCTCCATTAATCATCTCCCATCTGTTCATTGTCCTGCTTTGTAAAGTTGGTCTCCATAGCAGCCAATGGTAGTTACCACACAAACAGAGCTGATATTACAGGAAGTAGGGCGTCCGGATAACTGAAAAACAAGGAGCTGTAAAACCAGCGACCTTACAAAGCAGTGAAGATCTATTCATTGTATTTTCGGACACTTTGTCTTCCTTCCCCACCCCACCCCACCACACCCCTCTTCAACTTTCCCCTCCCGAACACACCCTTTGAGAAATTGGGTCATTTTAAGAGCCACAAAGGTGTCCCACATTTGTTAACCAATAAACATAAGCCTTTTCTTTCAATTTAATTTTGAGGATGGTCGAAATCTAATTTATTGTCACTTTTAATAATCTTGACTGTTGCGCTGTCTCTAGATATGGGCACTGAACATCGCATTGAATAATAAACCTTGTATTTGATGCTGCATCTTTCACATCGGGGAGGATGTCTCAAAGTGTTTCACAGAATATAGTGTTTAATCTCGTGGCTGTATATTTTGTAACCAAAGAATTGTGCCACAAACAGACAGCTATGAAGCGAATGAGCAATTTTACCGGGGAACTGTTGGTCAGGATAGCAGGAAAAACTCCCTCTTCTTTTGGCTTAGGGCAACGAGCACCTAAACAGGTAGATGGGACGTTGGTTTAACATCACATGGGAAGGTCGGCAACTCCAAGCGTGTGCTCCTCCGGCACTACAATTGAGTTCACTGAACCTGCAGCCTAGTCTTATGAGTTCAAAGTCCTCACCTGGGGTTTGAACCCACATCCTTTTGACTTGGAGGCGAGAGGGCTGCCAACTGGGTCAGGCTGACACATTACAGGCAAAAAGTTATGTTGCTGTTTTGAAGATAAATCCACAAAGATTGGGTCCTGTGGACTGACTTGTACATTACAAAGTGCGACACATATAAGTGGGTCATTATAATAGCCACCTACACTTTACCACAAGGTATAATTTACATTGGATGAAAGTAACTGCCACAGAGAGTGTTCAGGGTAATTTACCGAAACCATCGGCTCTGCAGACCACACTGCACTCCCGATTGTCACCAGCGTCCTTTTGATTTTGGAGCCGGTCAAGGACAATCATTGGATTTTATGAAGGTTTTCCTGTGCTGCTGGCGTCAATGGAACGTGTATGCCGGCCCCCGGTAAAGGATAACAATACTAATAATAATCAATCCTTGCATTTTGATATAGCGTGTTGTCACCTCGTCAAGATGATTCGGGATTTTACTGTATAGTGTAGTGACTGTATATATGTAACCAATTTGCACACAGTCATGTCCCAGTGAAGTGAATGACTGAATTTATAAATAATATTCCTTGCATTTTATACAGCGCCTTATCACGCCTTTGAGACATCTCAAAGGGCTTCACAGAATATACTGCAAAGCGAATTGACTGTATATATTGTGGGCCTGCGTGCGGGTTGGGTGAAATTGTTGGCCAGGACACCAGGGTAAACTCCCAGCCCTTTTTGAATAACGCCAGGAGCACTTTAAAGTCCATCTGAACAGGCACGGACGGAACTTCCTGTTAAAGTCTCATCTGAAAGATGGATGAGATGCAGTGCGTGAGTTATTTTCTTGGCAGGGCATTCGAGGTCCGTGGCAGTGGTTGACGGATCAATCGACTGAATCAGCAAGTGTATTGTATTTCATTTGCTTGTAATTGATACCTCCCGAGAGTGTGTACTGATAATGAATTGATGTGTAACTCACTCTAACCCATCCTGGCCGCACAGACTGCATGATCCGAAGAGAGGGATTCACTCCTGCAAGGGTGTGCTGGTCTGTGACCAAAGCAGTTGTCACTTTGCCATGAAAAGAATATTGTAGGTTATAACATTGATTGTACAAGGGACAGGAATATAGGTGTGAAAAATGCCACGCTTCACAGGAGAAAAATTACCACTTCATATCTGTTCTGAAACATCGCACCTTTCAACCCCATAGACAAGGGAATAAGTTGGCGTCCGAAAGCACTGTATTGACAATGTAACCTGTCCTTCGGATGACACGTCAAACCCAAGGCCCCTTCTACCTGTTCAGGTGGACATTAAAGATCCCACGGCACTACTCAGCAAGAGAAGGGAGTTTCTCTGGATGTCCTGGCCTATAATTCCCCCGATTGGTCTTTGACTCCATGGTTGATTTGAGACATTGCTCTGTGTTAATTGGCTGCTGGGTTCACCTGCAAATACATAGACACTACACTTTACAGTATATAGCTTTGAAACAACATGATAAGATGCTACAGCAGATGCAAGTATTATTAGTATTAGATGCCTTTGCAAGCAGTGCACCCAAGAATTTACGGCATTTTTTTGTAGCATTTTGACATTATCTCTGTTTTCCTATCCTCCTAGGCTGGCACTTGGGCCCGAATCAAAGGTAACCGGATGCTATGAAGCCTTTCACAAGGAATAAATTAATAGGTGAGTAAATCTTTTACGGAAATATCCAAACAAAATGTATACTCTTTTCCTAATGATTTGTTCCTGTCAATTGCCTTGATAACCATTTACCTCTTGGCAAACAGCGCTGTATGAACACAAATTCTGAACGAGTTGATAGAAGCGTTAACAAGTTGCCAAGGCTTTTATCTCTGAGCGGCTGAACACAGTGTGACTGGGAATCCATTATTGAGTAGACTGGTGGCTTTTAACTCCACAACGTGCTGGCGGGGAGAGATAAAGTGGATCGTGTGTTTTGCCACTAAGATTATTGTTGCGTGGAGCAACAGGAGGAGGTGTTCGACCCTTTGGAGCTTGTTTAAAGTCCCAGTCAGCAGTGGGTATAGCCTTGGCTGCCTTTTGTGTTACACCTCAGTGATCAGTACAAACACTGACTTAAGAGCCTGTCTCCAGGAGGTTTCATAGCAACACATGTGGCTTGAGGTTTAAAAAGAAAACATTCTTCAGCGGTGAGGTCTGCTTCGAGAATACTTTGCCAATGTTGGATTGAGGCTTTGCTTATGTGTATCCTAAGGGTGCAAGTGGGACCAGCAGGTAAAGTATTTCTCTAGTTCAGTACACTATGTGCTTTGTGTTAATTATATATTCAGTGGAGTTTGGCGTTGGGCTAGTTTCAAAAGCTTTGAATGCTCGCTGTCTTCTTTTTTTAGCTTGTTGTAAAGGGTGGTGGTGATGGGGGAGGAGAAGGGGGGGAGGTGATAAACTATCTCGTGCCAAGTTAGCGACCTTCCTATGCTGTGCTACTGATGGTTATTTTTCTTTCCTTCTATCCTAGCCGATACAATTTTCACTGTAAAAATAATAATTAAAATGACTGTGAATGCTGAAGGTCTGTAAATACCACAGGGAATGTTGGAAATGTAAAAGCAGATCAAGCGGGAACTGGAAGGGAGAGCCTGGCAGGTGAATGTTTAAACAGGCTCAGTCTCGTAGAGGGTCAGCTTGAACCATCTTGTTCGGTTGCATTGTTTTCACTCTGGGTCACCTCATTAATAATCCTTGTATTTGATAAATCGCTTTTCGCGTCACGAGGGCGTCTCGTAGGGCTTCACAGGTTTTACTGTAAAGTGCAGTGACTGTGTGTTTGTAGACGAACGTGGTGGCAATGTCCCACAACCAGCTATTAAGTGTAGGAATCATATCTGGGGGATGTGGGCCAGGACTTTGGGAGAAACTCCCTTATCATTTTAGATAATGCTGTGGAATCTTTAACGTCCACTTGGATTTAATGGGACCAACAGCACAGCACTCTCCCAGCAAAGTCATCTTAAACTGAGCTCAAAGTCCTGATGTGGGGCTTGAACGCACAATATTCTGACTCAGAGTGGGAGCGCTACCAACTTGAATCAGACACACACACGCAGACACACACACACACACTCATGAGCACACAATAAATAACTAAAGAATGTTGCATCTTACTGGACTTGAGAGCCAAGATTGTTTTGTGCATTTAGACAGTCGTTCCAACAATTAAAATGGGATTTTGTTTTAGTGGCTGTTTTATGTTACCTTTATTGTGACCAGATCTGACTGAAGGGATTGAATCCTGGATAACCCAGCAAGGTCTTTTCTTCCCTCTGGCAGCAACAAAAGTATTAAAACTGGAGAAGGGTTTTTGGTAGCAACTCCGAGATAAAAGAATTGCTGTGTGTATAAAAGAAAAATTAGAAAAGACGGCAGGTAAAAGGTTTTCTAAGAGTCTGCTGGGAGAACCTGGCTTTGTAATTTCTGGCCTTTGTCAGGAATACAAGACAAGCAGCAGGATGGAAATGACAGTACTATACCACTGATGGAAATGAGTGACAGCCTCAAATTCCAGGACGATCTTATAATCTGTGAAATGGGTGTGAAATTTCAGTCAACAGCAACAATAACTGCCATCAATGTGTGCCAGCCTGGCTCAGTTAGTAGTACTCCATCTTGGAGCACCTTTTGGATGAGACATTAAAACTAAGGTCCCGTCTACCTGTTCAGGTGGACTTTAAATATCCCGTGGCACTATTTGCAAAGAAAAAAAGAGTTGCTGTGGGTGTGCATATTTGCTGCCCCGTTTGCCTACAAAATATAGTCGGTGTACTTTATAGTGCTTTAAGCGCTTTGAGATGTCCTCCTGACATGAAAGGCATACTTTAAGGAAACAGTCTTAACCCTATTTTTTCTACGGTTCCTTAATTATCAACTGGCAATAATTAAGGAATAGAATTAGACAGGTTTAGAAATATGGCAAAATTCAGCCCTACCTCTCTTGTGGGATACATGGAATTTTCAGTTTGGTTTGAATACTCTCAAGCATGGTAATGGTGGGTTTCCACATGTGTCAGAACCCCCAGCTGACCAAAAAGAACCCTCTTGTGATTTTGCTCCTATTTTCACTGCAGAAATTATTTCCAATCTGGAAAGGTTAAACTCTTAACAGATCTCAGTGGAAACATTTCCTTGAGATTTCACAGAGACATGTGCAATAGTTATTCAGAGGGTTTCTTTCTAAAAACTCCAGGAAAAACTCCTTCGGGGCACAGTATGCAAAGTCTTGACAATTTCGCAGGTGGAGATTATCCTAAATGATTTATTCCAATTTTCTTTTCTTTCCCCAAAGGCACCTACACCCACTATATAAGTGACGTTGTGATTCACTTTAACCTTACCCCATGAAACTCTCAGTCAAAATGGAGTTGGCTGGTTATCCAATTGTGTGGGAAGGGGGAAATCTTAACTTTGTCTGATATCCACATGCATACACAAACCCAGCATGATTCACTGCATAGGGATCCTGTACAGGAAACCTTGGTTGAAATAAACTAACTCGATGCTCACCAGCGATCGAACCGGGACTTTCCTAACAGCTCAAGACCACGGTAGGCAGTGGATTTGCATAGTGAGTCACTGGGGAGAATTTATTTTAAGCGGAGTAGTGTCCTTTAAAACGACAGTGCTTTTGTTCCCCTCACAGATTGACCCCATACCCTTACATTTACCTCTCTCGTTATTCTGAAGGTGATCAATTAATCTGCTTAAATTGGAGTGCACAAGAGCAAATTCTGGATGTTCTGAAATGCTAAGGAGTTATCAGGCTCACGTGGAATCTCTCCCCCTATGTAGTATTTTTGGTAACAAACTTAAAATCATCCCCTTCAATTATAAATGTACAACATTTGTTTGTGGAAATCTAGAGATAGTCAGAAATCTAGATATGGTAATCTCTAGAGATTTATGCTGTCTACGGTGAATGTATTATTTCCTTCTGAGAGATAAATGTAACATGTCAGTTCCAATAGATTGGTTGGCAATTAACATTGTTAGCATTCAGCTTGGTTCTTTCAATATTTGGCTCTTTCAAAGATGCTGGCCATCATGCAGTAATATTATATTAATAGCTCCGTCTGAGTCGACGTGAATTAAGCTCTTGCTTTGGTGTGTGTGGAATTTGTTCTGATCAAATTCAAGATTTGCAAGAGAGAAGGATACCATAACTTTAAAAGAGATTGTTATCTAACTGGTTTGACCAGACCAATAAACAACAATAAGAGTCCCTTTTAAAATATTTATAATCCTCCACTGAGAAGCCCAATAATGAAATAAGTTAGCTTGGAGAATGCGATTCTCTTACGGTTTGATGAATGAAACAACTATTTAATTAGAAGTGGATTTTAAAGTGTTTTAGTGCACATTATGAGAAAATATACTGTAAGGCAAACGTGTTGAGATTAGTGACCAGAACAAGTGCGCGTCGCCCTGACTTTTGATATTTCTAAGTTTCCCAATCTCCAAAGATCAAGTTCTTGTGGAAAAAGAAAATCATTTATCAGATCATGTTTTTGCTATTAACTGATAGGAAATGGAGGTCCACATTTCAGCACCATCTTACGTTTTAAGAAAAAATGGTCTTAGGTGCTAAGACTAGGTGGAATTTAGGACTATTCCGAACACACCTATCTGGGAGGATTGTTGGCCAAGACACTGGGAGAAACTACCTTCTTGTTTTGAATAGCACTGTGGTATCTTTAATGCTTATCCGAACAAAGCTCTGGGTTTGGTGTCTCATCCAAAAGGATGGCACCTCTGACAGTGTAGCTCTCCCCCACCCCACGCCCAGGACTTGTATAGATTTTTTAAAACTGAAGGGATCAAGGGATATGGGGAAAGGGCGGGTAAATGGAATAGTTGAGATCAGCCTTGATCTTATTAAATGTCGGGGCAGGCTCGAGGGGCCGAACGGCCTACTCCTGGTCCCATTTCTTATGTTCTTATGTTATGACTTGGAGGCAAGAGTGCAACCAACTGAGCCAGGCTAACACCCATGTAACTGATGGATAAGTTGAGCAGCTGGTCTGTGAGGGTTTGAGGCGTTGAGACCCAGCAGATGAACCTGGTGGATGCAATGATTAATTGCTCGCTCACTGAGCAGTAAAACTGCATTACATTTCACACTGTATGGAGAACCCAGTGGATCAGTACTGCGTTGGTTTCAGACTCCAGTGCCTCGGGGGGGGGACAACGGATCCAGATCGGTATAATTGCAGCCTTTTATCCAAGCCACGTGGTGAGTTCAGCAAAACTGAACGCCGGTGTTCTGAAATCCCCTAGGAAGCTTCTGAATGAACTGTTCCTCCACGATCCTCAATTTTTAGCAATAGTCTCAGCAGGTATTAAGAGATTACTTTGCCTTTAACGATGAGCCTGGGGCAAACCAATGTGAGGCGGGGAAGATGCAAAAATGTTATGATTAACTTCCCATCTAAACAACCCCCAAAAAAAATCAGTTTTAGCTGGGTTTTACCCCAGAAAAATAATATCAAAGGTACGGAAAGATGACCCTTTCTCTGATTGCCTATGTTATAATAATAATAATAATCCTTGCATTTGATAAAGCGCCTTATCACGTTCTTTCTTAACAGCAATTCCTACGGGAACTCTATCCATCCATGACCTATGTCTGGTTACCTGGTTTGCCACAGGTT